GGCTGAGGCAAGAGAATCACTTAAGCCCAAGAGTTTGAGGTAGCTGTGAGCTGTGACACCACAGCACTCCACCCAGGATGACATGTGAGATTCTGTATCAAAAAAAGAAATTGGTGGCGCCTGTGGCTCAAAGAGTCGGGTGCCGGCCCCTCATGCCAGAGGTGGCGGGTTCAAACCCAGCCCTGGCCAAAAACTGCAAAAAAAAAGAAAAAGAAATTAACTTGAGCTCTTTAGCTCTTCTATAGTCTCTACAACCTCAGTATCATGTAATTGTTATCTTAAAATCCTGTAGTAGGCCTTATGTCTAAGCATAATCATATTTTGTTGTCTTAAGCATTTTCTCAAACTTATAATTTTGAAATTTAGCTACAACTTATTATAGAATTTAGTGACTTTATTCTAAAATAAATTTATATCTTTCTCATAAAAAATTAAAAGAATAGGGAGTTGATTTAAGTGATTTGAATTCTCATTTTTCATAGGGAGTCAAATTCAAAGCCACTGAATCAGGAAGTGATGGTGGAAGCATATGATTTGAGGATAAGGAGTAATTACCAAGAGGATGAAAATCAACCAGTTACCAAGGGTTGCCACTAGAGGTGGACGAGGTAGGAGTGAGGACTATTACTTTCATAGTAATAGGTCTTCTTACCATATATATGAATCATGTTCATATAAGGAGGATAAGGATAAGGAGTAATATCCGAGGGGATGAAAATCAACCAGTTACCAAGGGTTGCCACTAGAGGTGGACGGGGTAGGAGTGAGGACTATTACTTTCATAGTAATAGGTCTTCTTACCATATATATGAATCATGTTACATGGATTTACATTTTTAGAGATATATTTTTTTCTTAAAATAGTGGTAGTATGACTAGGCTCAGAGGACCATCCATGGGCAACGGTCACTTCACTCTTGATCTATGACACTTGACCATAGCCTAAAGTGTTTCTGACTTACACACTGCTTTGAAATGATGGTGTCATTTGTTAAGTCTGTTGTAACAGTGCTTGTCCATATTTCTCAATATTGGCATTTCTTTATTTATTTTGTATTTTTTAAATTTTATTTTTTTGAGACAGTCTCCCATGTCACCCTCTGTAGAATGCTGTGGCATCACAGCTCAAAGCAACCTCAAACTCTTGGGCTTAAGTGATTCTTTTGCCTCAGCCTCCCAAGTAGCTGGGACTACAGGCATCCACCACAACGCCCAGCTATTTTTTTGTTGTTGTTGCTGTTGTAGCTGTCATTGTTTTGGCAGGCCTGGGCTGGATTTGAACCTGCCAGCCCAGGTGTGTTTGGCCAGCACCCTAGCCACTGAGCTACAGGCGTTGAGCCTCTACATTGGCATTTCTGAGGGACATTAAACATTCTCATTGGTGACTAGCTTTCTACTGCAGTGATGTACACTGAGTTAAAAAACTAATTCTGATACATCACTAACAACCTAGGAGAATTCTTGGTTGATTTCATGCCCTTGTACCAAGTTTTTTAGTTAGCTCTTCATCCTCCCAGTATGTTTCTAGTACAGTACTCTGCATATTAGAGTTGCTCAATATTTACTGAAGGAATTATTTTGAAAATAAGGTGTTTACCAGCTTGAGCAAGAGTGAGACCCTGTCTCCAAAAGAAAAAAAAAAAGATAATAGCTGGGTATTGTGGTGGGTGCCTATAGTCCCAGCTACTTGAGAGGCTGAGGCAAGCGAATCACTGAAGCCCAAGAGTTTGAGGTTGCTGTGAGCTGTGACGCCATGGCACTCAACCCCAGGGTGAGATTCTGTCTCAAAAGAAAGAAAAAAAAAAGCTGTTTGAAACATAATAGGGGAGGTAAGGTGGCTTTTGCCATCTCTATCCCACCTTCAAATTGTTTTAAATACACAATAAAAAACTTGGTTATCTGTGTCACTTCAGCAACTGATGATCTTTGATTGCTTAGAGAGGTCAGAAGTGTCCTCTAAGAAGTTCATTTGGCTTCTTTACTACTGAACTGTTTCTATGCTGAATCATTTCTCTGGAAGACACATACTTTTTTCAGTTCAATAAGTCTGGGTTGGTATTTTATATGTTTCTGGTCCTTCTGATCCTTCAGTACACAATAATACTATTTCTCATTTGGATATAGAGAAATACCCATGTAAGTGAAATAATGTAATAGCTCACATGCTTGTGCTTTTTTCCAATCTCCTTGAAAGGACAGGACTAAGCACATGGACTGGAAATTGGATGGGAGTACTCAGAAAATAGAGTCTCCTGTGCTGCAGGGTCATGAAGGTGTCTTTGAGGACAGAGGTGAAGATGGGATCTCCGAAAGCTTCCAGCTTTTACAGATAGATGTGGAGTGCCAGGAGGGAGAGACCCTGCCCACAGGCAGTACAGCATGGTGCTCGGTGAGTACAGGGGAGTTGCCTGGCCATAGGCCTGGAGTAATAGAATATCCCAGACACCCCTGTTCTATGTGTAGATACTACTCATAAAAAGAGACTGGGACCAAGTTTTACGTATTTTAAGTGATAATTTCCTGCTAACTAGTTTAAAGTTTTAGCTCCATTTGAATAATAGAGAAAATAAAGTTCAAAAGGAATTTCTCATATGCCTCAGAAGAGTCAGGAAATCTCAATTCTAATTAAGACCCTGTCCCTAATGAATTTAGTATGTGATCTTGAGCAAGTCACATCTCTTTCTACTGCTCTGTTTTCTTTAAACGCAATCCTGCCTAGATTTGTTTTTAAGACTAATATCCTTTTTCTCTCCTAACTTTATATGTAAATGAAGAAATAAGTAACTGTTCCTAATATTCATTTTCCTTTTTGGTGCTTATGAAGTTCTCAAACAATTTTGTTTTCTGGATAACATAAGAAAAATGTCCAGAGAAAACAGAGACACTGGGAAAAAGTAATTGCAGCAAAGAAGAGCAAAAGAAAGCAAGAAAAAGAAAGAAGAAAAGCCAATCGTGCAGAAAATCCAGGTAACAGTCAATGAGATTACTTGTATAACCATTGTTAGCAAACTAGTTATCTGCATGTTTCTAGGAAAGTAGACATTTTATTTAAGTAGAAACAAACATACAGGAGGCAGAACCTAGTATACTATTTTATTGGGAATCAAAATATCAAAGAAAGAAAAATGTAAGGGTACTATGTAGATATAAACTAGTGAACATTAAGTGTTTATAAGCTCAGAGTAGAAGGGATGAAACCAGCAACAGCTAACATTTATGCAGTGCTATGTGCTAGGTTCAGTTCTGAGAATTATACATGGATTACCCCAAGAAACAGTACTAATACTATTCCCTTTTTGTAGATGAAGAGATTGAGGCTCAGAGAAATAGGGTAACTTGTTTAAGATAATTCAGCTAATAAATTATCAAACTGAACTTGGATTTAAAGCCAGCTGTGTGCTCCAAAGCCTACACTTCTCACCACTCTGCTATGTGAAAATCCCTTAATGAAGAATACCTTGAAAATATTAAAGTTTCTCTTCATATACAGGAAGTACTCACTTAGCTAAGGAGTACCCACTTTCTCTGGTTTTCCACTTTTATTTCTTTCTGATATTTCTCCCCTAGGCATCTGCCCTCAGCACAGCAAACGTTTTCTGAGAGCTTTAACCAAAGAGAAACTTTTGGAAGCCAAACACTCAGGACCAAGAATATGTATTGATTTGAGTATGACTCACCACATGTCAAAGAAGGTAGAACATCCACTAAACCTAGAATTCTGCTCACATGAGGAAGGCTTAGAAGCCCAGGAGTTGGAGGTTGCTGTGAGCTGTGATGCCACGGCACTCTACCGAGGGCAATAAAGTAAGACTCTGTCTCACAAAAAAAAAAAGAATCTGGGAGAAAATACACGTCATTTGGTTGAGTTGCACATTTTTAACTTGTGTTTTGAGTTTAATACCTTTGCCTCTCTGTTCATGATGTCTCCAGTTTGAATGGAACCTTTCAGGTTCAATTCTCTAGACACTAAATATTTCCTCTCCTCTGTGGGGAAGAGGAATATTTGCCTAGTAGCTTGTGAGGTTACCTGATAGAAGCTCTTCTTGAAAAGTATGTTTGGTTTTTTTTCTTGCAAGGTATGTGTTTTAATTGTTTCTCATTCACCTAATTGGTGAGAGAGGGATTCCTACCCTAGGGTTTCGTGAATGGCTGAATATATGACATCTGACAATGGACAGATGATACAACAGTTTGTTGGTCTCATATACTCACAGCCCAGGGGAGAAGGATATTGCCCACCATACAAGGCCACGTAGGGGTTATAATTGAAAACAGAATGAACAACCAGGCACTGCAGGAGATGGACTTTGTAGTGTCAAGAGGGTGAAGTGCTCCCTGGTTTCCACAGGAGGATGAGATTTCCCATCTGGATAATTTCATTGGCTGGCAGGGAACAAGAACCCACTACTCAGGCATAAACAAAGATGCCTATATATATGTAACAATAAGGCCAGCAGGAGGTAGAATTCTCAGTTTTCTACTATTTCTGGCCTGGTATCATTTTCTGGACTTTTGTCTATAAGGTGTGACACCACGGAGTGTAACACACACTCATACACAAGTACTTCCAGTTCTTTAGTATTTTGTTCTAATTTCTTTAGTATTTTCTTTAGTATTTTGTTGATAATGAGATTTTCTTTAGTATTTTGTTGATAATGAATTTAGAGTAAGTTGGCCTCTTTCCAGCCTGAGTTGTCCTTATTTCTTTGAAGGAATTAAGTAGACTGGCTGGACAGATCCGAAGATTATATGGTTCAAACAAAAAAGCTGACAAGCCATTTTGGATCTGCCTCACTGGATTCACAACGGACAGTCCCCTATATGAGGAATGTTTGAGGATGAATGATGGATTTTCTAGTTACCTGGTAAATAACTAGATGAATTATTGTCTGAAAAGTAGATGTGGGGTAATAGTAATTTTTTTTTTTTT